CGAAGCTTAAAAAATTCATAACTAAGCCAAAAATGCATTAATTTTAATTCGGAAGGCTTTCCTGTGTTATATTTTAGCAGAGTAATAAAACTGCATACTCGGAAATTACTTCTTCGCAGCGTAACAAGCTTCAGAAACAAATTAGAATACCACTTTTTTGTCAATATTTATTTATATTATCATACCACAATTTGATCGACCGAAGCTTAAAAATTCATAACTAAGCCAAAAATGCATTAATTTTAATTCGGAAGGCTTTCCTGTGTTATATTTTAGCAGAGTAATAAAACTGCATACTCGGAAATTACTTCTTCGCAGCGTAACAAGCTTCAGAAACAAATTAGAATACCACTTTTTTGTCAATATTTATTTATATTATCATACCACAATTTGATCGAGCAAAGTTTAAAAATTCATAACTAAGCCAAAATGCATTAATTTTAATTCGGAAAGCTTTCCTGTATTATATTTTAGAAAGGTAATAAAACTGCATACTCGGAAATGACTCCTTCGCTGCGTAACAAGCTTCGGAATCAAATTAGAATACCATTTTTTTGTCATTATTTATTTATATTTTCATACCACAATTTGATCGACCGAAGCTTAAAAAATTCATAACTAAGCCAAAATGCATTAATTTTAATTCGGAATGCATTCCTATGTTAGTTTCTATCACGTTAATTAATCTGCATACTCAGTTTAACATTTAAAGAGGTTCAATTTTTATCGAATTTTTGGCAATTTTAATGATGTAACCCCTTATAAAATTTCTAAAATTTGGAAAATTCTGAAAAAAATAGATTTCGACCAGACATAGCTGGATCGACTCTCCTGTTAATGCTGATCAAGAATATATATGATTTATAGGGTCGGAAATGACTCCTTCGCTGCGTAACAAGCTTCGGAAACAAATTAGAATACCACTTTTTTGTCAATATTATTTATATTATCATACCACAATTTGATCGAGCAAAGTTTAAAAAATTCATAACTAAGCCAAAAATGCATTAATTTTAATTCGGAATGCATTCCTATGTTAGTTTCTATCACGTTAATTAATCTGCATACTCAGTTTAACATTTAAAGAGGTTCAATTTTTATCGAATTTTTAACAATTTTAATGATGTAACCCTTATAAAATTTCTAAATTTGGAAAATTCTGGAAAAAATTGATTTCGACCAGACATAGCTGGATCGACTCTCCTGTTAATGCTGATCAAGAATATATATGATTTATAGGGTCGGAAATGACTCCTTCGCTGCGTAACAAGCTTCGGAAACAAATTAGAATACCACTTTTTTGACAATATTTATTTATATTATCATACCACAATTTGATCGACCAAAGTTTAAAAAATTCATAACTAAGCCAAAAATGCATTAATTTTAATTCGGAAAGCTTTCCTGTATTATATTTTAGAAAGGTAATAAAAATGCTTACTCGGAAATGACTCCTTTGCTGCATAACAAGCTTCGGAAACAAATTAGAATACCACTTTTTTGTCAATATTTATTTATATTATCATACCACAATTGATCGACCGAAGCTTAAAAAATTCATAACTAAGCCAAAAATGCATTAATTTTAATTCGGAAGGCTTTCCTGTGTTATATTTTAGCAGAGTAATAAAACTGCATACTCGGAAATTACTTCTTCGCAGCGTAACAAGCTTCAGAAACAAATTAGAATACCACTTTTTGTCAATATTTATTTATATTATCATACCACAATTTGATCGACCAAAGTTTAAAAATTCATAACTAAGCCAGAAATGCATTAATTTTAATTCGGAAGGCTTTCCTGTATTATATTTTAGCAGAGTAATAAAACTGCATACTCGGAAATTACTTCTTCGCAGCGTAACAAGCTTCAGAAACAAATTAGAATACCACTTTTTTGTCAATATTTATTTATATTATCATACCACAATTTGATCGACCGAAGCTTAAAAAATTCATAACTAAGCCAAAAATGCATTAATTTTAATTCGGAAGGCTTTCCTGTGTTATATTTAGCAGAGTAATAAAACTGCATACTCGGAAATTACTTCTTCGCAGCGTAACAAGCTTCAGAAACAAATTAGAATACCACTTTTTTGTCAATATTTATTTATATTATCATACCACAATTTGATCGAGCAAAGTTTAAAAAATTCATAACTAAGCCAAAAATGCATTAATTTTAATTCGGAAAGCTTTCCTGTATTATATTTTAGAAAGGTAATAAAACTGCATACTCGGAAATGACTCCTTCGCAGCGTAACAAGCTTCAGAAACAAATTAGAAAACCACTTTTTTGTCAATATTTATTTATATTATCATACCACAATTTGATCGAGCAAAGTTTAAAAAATTCATAACTAAGCCAAAAATGCATTAATTTTAATTCGGAAAGCTTTCCTGTATTATATTTTAGAAAGGTAATAAAACTGCATACTCGGAAATGACTCCTTCGCTGCGTAACAAGCTTCGGAATCAAATTAGAATACCATTTTTTTTGTCATTATTTATTTATATTTTCATACCACAATTTGATCGACCGAAGCTTAAAAAATTCATAACTAAGCCAAAAATGCATTAATTTTAATTCGGAATGCATTCCTATGTTAGTTTCTATCACGTTAATTAATCTGCATACTCAGTTTAACATTTAAAGAGGTTCAATTTTTATCGAATTTTTGGCAATTTTAATGATGTAACCCCTTATAAAATTTCTAAAATTTGGAAAATTCTGAAAAAAATAGATTTCGACCAGACATAGCTGGATCGACTCTCCTGTTAATGCTGATCAAGAATATATATGATTTATAGGGTCGGAAATGACTCCTTCGCTGCGTAACAAGCTTCGGAAACAAATTAGAATACCACTTTTTTGTCAATATTTATTTATATTATCATACCACAATTTGATCGAGCAAAGTTTAAAAAATTCATAACTAAGCCAAAAATGCATTAATTTTAATTCGGAATGCATTCCTATGTTAGTTTCTATCACGTTAATTAATCTGCATACTCAGTTTAACATTTAAAGAGGTTCAATTTTTATCGAATTTTTTAACAATTTTAATGATGTAACCCCTTATAAAATTTCTAAAATTTGGAAAATTCTGGAAAAAATAGATTTCGACCAGACATAGCTGGATCGACTCTCCTGTTAATGCTGATCAAGAATATATATGATTTATAGGGTCGGAAATGACTCCTTCGCTGCGTAACAAGCTTCGGACACAAATTAGAATACCACTTTTTTGTCAATATTTATTTATATTATCATACCACAATTTGATCGAGCAAAGTTTAAAAAATTCATAACTAAGCCAAAAATGCATTAATTTTAATTCGGAAAGCTTTCCTGTATTATATTTTAGAAAGGTAATAAAAATTCTTACTCGGAAATAACTCCTTTGCTGCGTAACAAGCTTCGGAAACAAATTAGAATAACACTTTTTTGTCAATATTTATTTATATTATCATACCACAATTTGATCGACCAAAGTTTAAAAAATTCATAACTAAGCCAAAAATGCATTAATTTTAATTCGGAAAGCTTTCCTGTATTATATTTTAGAAAGGTAATAAAACTGCATACTCGGAAATGACTCCTTTGCTGCGTAACAAGCTTCGGAAACAAATTAGAATACCACTTTTTTGTCAATATTTATTTATATTATCATACCACAATTTGATCGAGCAAAGTTTAAAAATTCATAACTAAGCCAAAAATGCATTAATTTTAATTCGGAATGCATTCCTATGTTAGTTTTTATCACGTTAATAAATCTGCATACTCAGTTTAACATTTAAAGAGGTTCAATTTTTATCGAATTTTTGGCAATTTTAATGATGTAACCCCTTATAAAATTTCTAAAAATTGGAAAATTCTGAAAAAAATAGATTTCGACCAGACATAGCTATATCGACTCTCCTGTTAATGCTGATCAAGAATATATATGATTTATAGGGTCGGAAATGACTCCTTCGCTGCGTAACAAGCTTCGGACACAAATTAGAATACCACTTTTTTGTCAATATTTATTTATATTATCATACCACAATTTGATCGACCGAAGCTTAAAAAATTCATAACTAAGCCAAAAATGCATTAATTTTAATTCGGAAGGCTTTCCTGTGTTATATTTTAGCAGAGTAATAAAACTGCATACTCGGAAATTACTTCTTCGCAGCGTAACAAGCTTCAGAAACAAATTAGAATACCACTTTTTTGTCAATATTTATTTATATTATCATACCACAATTTGATCGAGCAAAGTTTAAAAAATTCATAACTAAGCCAAAAATGCATTAATTTTAATTCGGAATGCATTCCTATGTTAGTTTTTATCACGTTAATAAATCTGCATACTCAGTTTAACATTTAAAGAGGTTCAATTTTTATCGAATTTTTGGCAATTTTAATATATAAAATTTCTAAAAATTGGAAAATTCTGAAAAAAATAGATTTCGACCAGACATAGCTGTATCGACTCTCCTGTTAATGCTGATCAAGAATATATATGATTTATAGGGTCGGAAATGACTCGGAATGCATTCCTATGTTAGTTTTTATCACGTTAATAAATCTGCATACTCAGAAAAAAATAGATTTCGACCAGATATAGCTGGGTCGACTGTCCTGTTAATGCTGATCAAGAATATATATGATTTATAGGGTCGGAAATGACTCCTTCACTGGTTTTTTTAACATTCGACTAAAAGGTTATTTAAATAAGTAATCTAAGTATATTTCTCAAGTTTTAATCAACTTATTCTAACGTATATTATAATATAAATATATATATTAAATAATCTTTTTTTCCATTACATTCATTCGATATCTTAAACATATCAATGTATTTAATATAGATAACTCATAAAATATAAAAGAAAATAACATATTAAATAGAGTTATATATAGACTTTCTTTGCCTTATCGATAGTGTTTGCCATCCTTATATAACTTCTGTAAGATGTTTCCCTTAATTAATATTTTCCATAATAAAAAATCAGTTTTCATATCCAACAACTTCACGTTTATTTACGAATACACTGTGAACATTTTATATCGTAATAAAGTTCCTTCTCTCTGCAGAAAACAATGTCGTAGAGTCTTTATCAATATAATGTGTTTTGGTGTAATGCTTTCTTCTACATGTAGAATACATTATTCATAAAGTAATATTTATATATATATTCATGTGTATATATCTTTTTGTTTGTATATATAGATCCGCATTATAAACGCCCCCCCAAAACGCAGCCAGACCTCGAATTGAAAGAAGATTTCATCTGCAGTTGTGCCAGAATTGTATACATATGTGGTTGTGGAAAAGTTACACGATTTTAGTAAATAGATTAAATATATATATATAAAGAAATCAAGTAATTAAAAAGAATATACATAGGTTCTAGGTTCTAGGTCTATAACTATTCGCATATATTGTAGTCTGAAACTTGGTTTCGTGTACAAAAAAAACTAAACTTAGGTATGCCAAGCACTTCATCGTTACGTCAGAAATGGTTTTTGAGAACTATACAAGAGGGGGTAGAACCGGGTGGAACAGGGGGATCTAAATCAAATAAAATTGTACTTCATCTTCACTGTTTTGGCTCAATAAATATCAATTAAAAGCAATGTGTCCATGTATTCGTTAAGAGAAATCAAGAAAACGCATCCTCGTCGAATAAATAATCTTAGGGCTTACGGCTACGGTAACGGGCGGGCTCCTCCTGCCTTACTACTCAAGTTTCCTCTCAACTTTTCAAACTTAATGCAATATTGCAACTATCGTATATATGAGTACATATCTTAAAAGTAAACAGAGTTGTATAACATCTTCTCCTTCGCAATGCTTATCGCTCCGGTCGCGAAATATCATATAAAGTAAACTTTAGGCTTATAGCTATATAGTGCGTTTGTGTATGTTCTGTTTCGGTTTCGGTATCGTTTTTTTGTCTATGCTCCGTTCCCTGGATCATAATATCGCATCTAATTCTTGGGTGAAACGGTGATGAGTTTGTGTGGCGTCACCGGGGAGATCTGTAACACAAGAGGTTTAATTTAATGCGAAATCTTTTACTAGGTTTGTTAATCTTGTACTTACCCATAGGGACCTGCCCATGTATGAATCATCATCATCTTCGATGAGTCCCGCCGGATGACGGTGACCCTGCTGATCGATCAACAGCAGTGTGTCCTTGCTGCACGTGTTTGCCGTCTTGCGTAGCAGCGACGACAGCGTCTCCGTGTAGTTGGAGCTTGTGGAGAAGGAATGTCGCAGGCTTAGCTGCTGCTGGTGGTGTGTGGCATTCTCCACCGCTGATACGCTGCTCCTGGATCCCTGCCAGTTGTGATTCTGCAACACCTGCCGTGACAACTGCAGGCTGGAGGAGAGCTGTGGCGTATTACCGTTGCCATTGAACATGGCCGAGGGCGTGCTCATGTGACCGTTGAACTTATTTTGCAGCGTTGAGGCTGCCGTCACCGAGGTGCTCAGCGATCTCGGCGAAGAGCGCGATGAGAGCGAGCTCTGGGAGGAGGAAGAGCTCGAGGAGGAGCTCACATGGCCATTGGTCTTGGCCTCGGCGGTTAGTTCGCTATCTGCGGGGGCTTCGGATATCATGGCCTCTTTCGGTTCGGGTTCCTCCTTCTTCTTCTCCTCCTCCTCCACCAAATCCGCACAATCTTCGTCCATGGCAAATATGGGAGTGACTTCTTCTACGGCCATCGCTTTGAGTTCATCTTTTGCTGCTGCTGCTGCTACTGGGACTGGCTCGGTCTTGCTGGTCTCACTTATGCTGGTATCCACATCGGCATCGGCAAAGGCGATTTCTTCAATGTTGAGCTCATGTGTTACTTCTAAGGGCTTCTCCTGGACAGCAACAGTCGTGGGTTCTTCTGAAATATAACCAAAGCATTGGGTTAAAGAGCTTCAAATCTTTTACCATCAACAGTCCCCTTACCTTCATCATTTTCCTTGCAGATTTTAGGTATATCAACCGGCTTGGATTGAGCCTTTTCAGCCACCGCTGCTGCTGGCGTTTCGGTGGCCTCACTGGAACCCTCCAACTTCACCAGCTCCTTTTCCTTGCCAGAAGTGGAGGAGGCCGAAGACGAGGACGCTGGTGCTATACGCGACACCCAGTGATCACCCGAATTCGAGCTGGAGCCGGAGCACTCGCCGGCGTCCACACTGCGACGCTGATAGAAGAGCATGTAGGCCTCATTGTTGATGATGTCCTGCTCGATAGCGTCTTCAGGCACCTTGCTCACCCGCGTGTCGTCGAACTTGTACCACTGGCGGTCGTAAGGATTCTTGCAGGCGGCCGTGTAGTGGCCAGTCTCCAGGGTATCCCCCTGATGATAGCACACGGCGTACAGATCGTAGCGCGTGTCCTTTGGATCGCAGCGTGAGTTCAGTGTAGAGGAACGCGAGTCGCCAGAGCGGCCACGCTTCCAGGGATTCGAGCCCAAGCCAAGGCCCAGTCCCGCTCCGATTCCAAGCGAACTGCTGGCGCTTTCATGGACGCCGCGAGCCAAATGCGGAGACATATCGAAGGCGGTAAGCGGAAACTTGACCATGGTGGTCAGCTTGGCCGCCTGGGGACCTTTGGCCTGGTGCTGTCGGAACCGCTTGAAGTGCACCACCAGAATATCCGGAAGCGACCACAGCCCCAACGTCTTTACCACGGGCAAGTACTGCTGGCAATGCGGGCAACGCCAGGCGTCCTCGGCGCTTAGCGTCTCCGCTTTTGTGTAGTGCTCCAGGCACTGTTCTAGGGTCAGCGAGGCGGTGTCACTGGGTTTGCTGGCACTCAGCCTGGCCACGCTCTCGTGCTCCACAACGGCCTCCTCAACATCCTGATGTTTACTGAGAAAATGCTCCTCAGGTGAGCTCCACTCCAGCAGCAGCTTAATGTGTTGCGGTCCAGCCTCCGAGGAGAGCACGGACAACGCCATGTCGATCATTTCGGTGAGCAGCGGATGCTCCACTTGCTCCAGATAGGTGTCCGGATCGGCGGACGGGTCCTGCAGCCGTATCCTAAACATCTCAGCTAGCGGCGTAGCATAGGAGAAGACTTCAGGCTTAAGCAGCGGCGCCATTTCGCGTAGCATCCGCTTCTGCAGGTCCTGGTAGGAGCAATCACGCGGCGCCTTCATGCTGAACGGAGCTCCAAACCTCGTGATATCCTTGCCGTCCTTCGCTCGATATACGTTGGCCACTAGGAGTAGTAGGTCCGCCTGTGATTGAGCTGAGGCTGGAGCAGGAGCAACTGTCGCTGCGGGAGCTGGCTTATCTGACGTCTCGGTCGGAGTTGAGGACTTGGGAACCGGCGTTGGCTCCGGCACCTCGATGCAGTAGATGGTCTCGATGCTGGCCAGTGTCTCCACCGGTTGTGTGTCGTAGAAGACGCGCGTAAATCCCTCGGCGTTCAGATCCACCAGCACCATGCGGGCTCCATCGATGCCTGTGTCCGTTTGCAACTGCTCTCGCAGGGCCACAATCGGTGATCCAGCTGGAACTCGCAGGCCCATCCGCACCTGGCGCGGTACTTGCTTCATGTAGACCACCGTGACAAAGATCGTTTGCTGCGTGAGCTGCGGCAGCTGCACGGAGATACAGTGGAAGGGATCGAACGTGTTGGACTGCTTCTCGCAGCGCGGGCAGGTGAGCGAGGAGCGGAACTGGGCCTGGAACACGGCCTGGACGAAGCTGTTGTTGCACCGAATGTGATTGGCCAGCGTTTCGGCGGCGATTACCTCATCCGAGCGCCCGTACGAGTTCTGCGCGGAACAGGGAAGAGAATGCGTTAGGCGCGATCTTGGTATCCAACTAGGTATAGTTCCCACCTTGAGGCTTTTGTAGCGCCGCTTGCTGGCCGTGTTGAGGTCCTCGTGCACCTTATCCAGCAGCCAGAAGAGGAACTCCTGGGCATCGTGCTGCGTGGAACTGCGGAACTGTGTGCCATATCGATCCACCACGGCCTTGAAGCTGGTGCTATGATCACTCTCGTTCTTGCAGGTCCACAGAGCCTTTAGCACGTTGGCCAGCTGCTCGGTGAGCTCACCCTTGGTGCCAAACTTGCGCGAGTTGATCTTGTTGCGTCGCTTGAGGTCAGCCTTAAGACAAGATAAAAGATTTGAGATTAGTAAGGAGTCTATTTGGTTGTCTAAAGATCTTTGTAATTACCTTATACTGGTCTAGGACAAAGTACTCAGCCAGTATGTCCGTGTGGCTGAGGCATTGCAGCACCGCGTTCATGAAGCATGTATTGCCATGGTTCTTCAGACCCATAACACCGGGCGTTTGGTCCGCCGGCCACTGATAGCCGCCAATTGGTGGCACTCTCTCCCCGCTGCCTGGTGCTCCTGCTGCTCCGCCATTCGCCGTAGATCCCTGACCATGTTTGTTCGCCTAATGGGAGATGGGGAAAGAGTGGAAAACAGAGAACTGTGTTAGTCGCTGGGGAATACAAATTGGCCGCTCAAGAAACTCGTTTCCAGAGTGCAGTGGTTGGGAAGGGGGACCAATTGGCGATTGGGTTTCAATTTCGTTGCCAATTAAAAATGGTTTAGCGCAGCTCGCCGACATCAATTTGCGATAAATGAAGAAATGAATTTAGAAAACAAGCCGCAAGAAAAGAAAGGCCTGTCTGGCTGTCGAATAATAAAATACACTTTTAATAAAATGTAAATAATAATCGTTTAGCGGATATTTATGATATGCAAATGAGTCAAAGATTTCCGCGAAAATCCCTCTCTCTATATACATATATATTTAATGAACCAATTAGGAGTACACGTAGTCAATAGCGAGGGGTCTAAGGAGATGGGTAAACCTGGATGGGGTGTGTTTGGGTTCAATCGTCTGGAAAATTTCGGTGTTAATCACCAAAGAAATCGAAATTGTTTGAATAGGGATCTAGGAAGGGAGGTGTGTCTGCCAAATCAAATTCCTCTACAGTAACAAAATTTTCCATAAAATAAAATAAAAGCAATGCGAAAGATCTTTCCTATGAAAGCAAAGCAAACAAATAATAATACAATACAGGCTCTTAATGGGGTGCAATCTCTTGGTCTTTGTGCAATTGGCACGGCGTCCAAATATGAATTTACGATATTATAAACACGCTCTGGAAACACACGAGTGCCTTTAAGGGGCTCCGCGTTGCGTTTAGCAATGAAATTTTGTGGATTATGAAATTGGCGAGCATTCATTCCATCGCTGGAGGTCACTCTTGGCGGTCGTCAATGCTAAGTGGGCTTATGTACATACATATTTCCCGATTTCTCTAGGAAATGCAGCAAGAAAATATGGTGACGAAAGCGGACAAAAGATGAGTAAGTATGGGGCTAAAAAAATTTAAAAAAAAAAGAGGTAACGTCATCGTTCGCGCGAATCGATGCCAGCTGAGAGATATATGAGATACGAGTGTGTTTTACCAACAACAAGAAAAAGCAAAAATATCAAACAAAAAGCCAGCAAATAATGGATTCAATAGAGTCAAACAACAGCAACTTACAAAAAAAGTGGGCAAGCGACCGAAAGAAGCGCAAATCGAACACAAAAAGCCGGTTTTTTTGAAAGCGAAACCCACGCAAGATAGGAAACAACAAAAACAAAACAAAAAGGCTAAATAACTGGCAAAGAAATCAGCAGACGGCCAATGGTAAATTGGCCAAAAGGGAAATAAATCTCTGTGTGGGCTGGGCAGGGCTGGGTGATTATAACCTCTACCAGGAGGCTAGGCTCTAAGCCCACTGATTAGATTTCGGGTACCTCTTTTCTGCGCCAGCATCCGGTGTAAAATGGCACGATATCTATGAAGGCGATGCGATTCGCTGGCGAGTTGTGCTCCTCCGACTAAGACGAAGATGCGGCAGTCCGGATAAGTGGGCAGGAGGAGAACATAGAGAGAAAGAGGAGTGTTCAGTTAGCTGGGGGTTCGTCTCCAGGTGACAGTTAGCACAGATATATATATATTCAAGCTGCCACATCATGGTGCAGCACAAAAGTTCCCAAGACATTAGCCGGGATTTCGTTGTCTCATTCGCTTAAGCTTAGTGACACCATCCATGACAAACCCAAACCCATTTCCATTCCCATTCCCATTCCCCTAGCCCAGAGTCTTCGTTGTTGTTTCCAAACCGAAGAAGGAGGACGTTGTCTTTGGGTAATTGTTGCTTTTGTTGGCTAGCAAAATTGACATTGAACTGACGTCGACTGCATCGAACAAATGCCATTTGTATTGTGTTTCTCCTCCGGTTTTTGGGGGAGTGAGTGACCATATTGAATGGCGGCCAAGTGCCTGCTCTCAAGTGCCTGGCTTCCATACAAAAGATGCCCCGCAAAAGGGCACGAACTTGGGGGCTTTCCGCTCTCCACTCTCCCAGAGGAAAAACTTAAGCTTTACACTTACCCTACCTAACCTTGGTTCGATTTACTTAATAATTAAGAGGCGCTAAGCTAAAGGGTTCCAAATTTAAGCAGCTCAGCTCATTAGAGGCAAACCCAATTAAAATGGGCCCGACCATGATGTAAGCTGAGCCAAAGCCGCGGATTAAAATGGCAAAAAACAGGAGAAGAGAAGAGGAACACTGGAGCGAGGTATGGCAGAGGGTTCCAGGTTCCACAAAAGCAAGCCTCAATAAATAAATTGAGTGGAATTTGTGAACCAACGCATGTCCAGATCTCTATTATATATATATACGTATATGGTATATATATCTGCGCTGACCTAATCGCGTTGTTCAGACCGCTATGCGAAGCATTTCTCACACAGCTGGAGACGACGTCGGAGCAGACTTCAAGACGTTGCGCATACGCCCCGTTCGCCGGCCTTTCATTCCACTTTTACATACAGTTTTCCTCGCTGGCTTTCGGCTGGTTAATTGAGCCAGAAATGCGGAGAAGGCATAGAATACTCGGGCCACTTGTCTCAATTTGCGCCGGCAATTTTATCATCATCATCGTCATTATTATTTATAAATTAAGCAAATTTCTCTGCCTTTTGTTTGTATATACGGCAGGCGGGCGGTCGGGCATCGAGTGGACCCAAATGTTTTTCTTAATGTATCAAGTGTCGCCTCCTCGTGCGCCTTCGGCTACCAATAGTCCATCCCCAGCCAAGGCTTTGTTTACATTAACGTATTCCGCTTAACTTGATGTATCGAATTATTGTGGCCGCTTCTCGAATTCTTTGCTGCCTTTTTGTGTATTATTTTCCTCTTTTCATTTTTTTCGTTTTCATTTCAGGCGGCAGCAAAAATTCCATTGCGCGGTGTGTTTATGCGGCCAGAGCTCTTGTGATAAGGCCCAGCGGACCAGATAACTTATAAATACCATACTGCACTGCACTCTAGGTATTTGCTTTTGTCTTTTTACGTAATAACCAGCGCCACTGGATGCAGATACCTACTATATATGTATCTGTATCTGTATCTATAAGTCGCTGCTGTTACGCTTACGTTTTATTAATAATTGTAAATAATTGAAGATAATTGCTGAGCCACGAGACTATTATTACTGCTCAGAGAGAGAGAGAGCGAGAGATCTTGGCCAGGGCATGAATGAAATTGGCCCAGAGATTGAGTTCGATATTGAGACCGATCTGAAAGCCTAACTGGAATCACCCAGAGTTCTCCTACCGGTGGACGGCATTTTATTAATGGGCCAATCGAGCAGACTATTATTAGAGAACCCCTCGATATATATATAGTATATGATTCGCATTATCACAAGCCATCCGTCAATCATGATATCGCATTCGATTCTCCGAGTTTAGCACTGATCACGTGACACCTGTGATCGCGTCACCATTATTATCTTTGCTTCCAGTTCCCGCCGAGATTTATGAGCTTCAAGGTTGGGATTGCGGAGAGAGATGAACTTGACTTGGCTTTATGGTTTCAACGAGCCCTGGCCAGACGCATCGCTTTATTGCCACCTTAACCACCTTCTAGCAAAACTAATTAGATCTATTGTGTTATGCAATGCCGCCCAGTGACTCTCGCACGCGGTTAGCACCTTTACAGGGCGCTCTCACGCCCCCTTCTGAAAAGAGGCGCGATTACGTGGCACAAGCTCTGTCAAGGTTGCGCCCACAATGGGCTTCTAATCAGGCCACCTTGCTATACGAGTCGCCGCCGCCGTTCGTCGTCGTTTGTCGCTTATCAGATACTCACAAGTGCTATCTACATATACAGTGCGTGCGTAAGTGTAACACCTCCGAGGGGGTGCACTCTCCAGATACGAGTAATTAATTACAAATAGAAGCATTCCCGATGTCACTTATAGTGATAGCATTTAGCTCTCATCATGACAATATTTAATGGCCCTCATTCAGCCTGGGTGTCGTGATCACTTAATGATTAAATTAATACGTAACTGAGTTATTGTTTGTTTTGTATTTTAGCAAACTGGATTCCTGGGATGATTCAACTTCTACGAGGAATTAATCTGATGATTGAGATTTCTAAATCGAACTCATATTTCAGGTTTCTTGACTTGATTTATGTGCTCAGTCCTACACTGGCTGGTCGGCACTGTTTCGCCTGTATGAATTCTGTCAACTTTAACTGATATCTGACGTTCGGTTTGGACTGGCTATTTTTGCCAAGTCTAAGGCCCACGCTTCCCAAGGCAAGGGCAAACGCTTGACAGCAGACGCGACCAGCGATTAATTGTACTTTTCACTTGAAAATTTTGTCGCATTGTATGTGTATTCTTCATAAGTAGATGCAGTTAAAGAAATTTGAATTTTAAGGAGTATTAACATTGAGTTTATGGATCGAAAGGAGTGTTGAACTTGTACATTAACTAATAGTATTTCTTTAGGATGTATTATGGCTATATTCTGCATTTATTTAAATTTACATTCCGCTTTGAAAGTAAAAGGGCGGTTTTGCACACTTAAAACTAAATGAATTTTCAGAAGGAGAGACAAATAAAGATTTTAAGCAAGGTAACAAATTATCATGAAAGAAGATTTATACACAATTTCCCCCCTTAAAGATACTTAAAAATACATTTCCCAGCTGTAATTATAACTCTAAAGCGCTTTAAATATACCTCCTTCCTACCTTCTCCTACCTAGTAAAAAGTATCCATATTATAAATATTTTACAGGGTATTCATTTCAGTCAGCATAGAAAACTTTCCGAGTTTTAATAAATGTATTTATGGCTTAGTTATTTTAATTAAGTGGAAGATTTGGCTTCCCAAAGTACCACCTTTTTGTTTTAACTTTTTTCAAAAAAAAAAAAATGAACTAAAACCTTTATCACTTGGCAATTTAATTAAACCCCATTAGTTTTTTGTACTGTGTACCTTATATGGTCGAGAGAGGGAGGCCCC